ATACTTGACTTGAGGAAAAAACTAAACAATACAGGTGACTAGAAAAAGAATGAGCACTAATTTCTAGGGTCATTCTATAGCTGTTTCTAAATGAGTTTTATTAAAAAAAAAAAAAAATCACTGATATTTACAACATAAATCCTGAACTGCTGAAGGTTAAGAGATGAAGAGTTACCTCTTGCACTCTTCTTAGGCTTTTTACAAGCCACTCTCAGAACAGACTAGATTGATAGAGAGCCTGAGCCAGTAGAGAAGTACCTGTTTTCTATATTCATCCAATAATCTCAGGTAGTCAGCTCTTACCTCAAATATAATTTGAGATGTTTATGAAAGACAAGTTCATAAATAATTTTCTTCTCAGAAGATAAAAATGGATAATTTTCTTAACTTTGATTAAAGAAGAAAAAATATACTAATTTCTTTAGTTAAGGGGGGAAAAAGTCCCCAAAATCTATTTTCATTATCTGCAGAGGATTTTCCTTTAAAATTGTTAGGGAAAAAAATTGTCTTTTTTCATCCCCTATAATAAATGTTTCACATAGTTATGATTCAATATGTTTTACACTACACTGGTAATTTTCATTATTCTCCAAATATCATATTTAAGGAGGTTAATACACCATTAACATGATTAACTTTTTAATAGAAGTTAAGCCATATGGAACCAATCTGCACCATTCAGCCATATAAATGACTAGATAGTGAAGGTCAGCCTCTGCCCCACTGCACCTGTGCAACTTCACTGGCTTTGCTTGATTTTACAGCCTAGACCAAGGGAGGAATCTGTCTCTCTCTAAAACTGAGAATATAAGCAACTTTTAATTTCTTCCCAAATCAGGGATAATCCATAGAAAGGCAGGGATAAATCAATGCACTAGACATGTCTGCATATAATCTGCAGAATGCCTTTGCAACCAGAGAAGCATTTCTCTGGATAAATTTGGGATCATGGATGTGAATCACATCCTTTAATGCAGTTTGATGAGAATAGTGAATTCTGTTCATTATTTTTCTCTCAATCATTACATCTGTAAAATACAAAGTAACTTAATTAACAGTGCAGTTGATAACAGAAGCAGCACTGCTGTTTCCCATAACTTTTTGCCCCTGCCAGGAATATAGCAATCATACCATGCAATTCAGTGTTCTGAATCAGATCCTGCATGGCTGATACCAAGGTCCTGAGACAGCAAACTCTCAGACTGAAGGACATTCTCTGACTCCAAAAGCACACAAGCCTTTTCCCTCCTTTATCCCTTCCCCCAACTCACTCTCCACAATTTTCCTGCTATCTCCCCTAACAGACTTTGCCATAAGTAACAAAGGTTCACGTTTCTCCTGTCTAGCCTGTTGTCTTTGCTGTGTTACACCTTGCCTCTCCTCTCTTCTCAGTTCTTCTAAAGGTGGTATAGAAAGAATACATTTTACTGACCCAACATCTCTCAGACAGCTGGTTCCCACAGCTGGAGTGCAAAAGGCAATAAAGATAAAACACAGCTCGGCAATGAATCACAAGCCTGAACATATCTCAAAGGTCATCTAGACCATTCCTCTGCCCCATGGGAGGCTCAGCTATCCCCATGTCATTTCTTACAGATATCCATGTCACCTGCTTTTAAAAACTCCAGTGATAGAAACTGCACAAGCTCCCCAGGCACTATAACCCAGGGTTTCACCACCTTCACACAAAAAATGTCAATCTTCCTCACAGGTCACATCATCTAGGCCTCAGGTCTTTCTCCTCTCTTTCTTGAGAAGATTCATCAGGTCTTTTCTTTTTTCCCCACACAGACAACTCCAATTAAAGCAGTTTCCTTCAAAAACCACTTTTGAAAGTGATGATTGAAAAACTTACTGTATACTGCTGCTGGTATTAAATTGCCTTTTTCCACTGTGCAACTGTAACATACTTTTAAAACTTACAATGACAAAATTAATCAGGTCCTGCTTGTTTTAACTCCATTAGTTTTACTGCAGATATGCATACGTAACAGTCAAAACAAGTCCAGGTAGTCTCCATTTTCATACGTGTGTCTGTAACATCTATTACCAGAAACAGTGTAACATCAACAGTAAAATATCAGCCATCAAATCAAGGAATTTTTGAGATTAAAACCAATTCAACTTTCCATAGTCATGTTTAACACAGATATCCCAATGTTACAAGACAATGACCTATCGAAGAGATGAAATTCAACTTTCCTCAAGCAAGCAGTTTCGTTCGGAACACACTTGGTCCACTAGCGAGAGCACAACAAATCAGATTTGGCTCACAGTTTTCCTATACCCTGTGAATTCATATGTCACCTGATTATTATTGGTTTTTAAATCACTGAAGAACTAAAAGAGGAAGAGAACTAGAACAATACAATAGTTAACCCACACCTTCTTCATTATTGTTGGCTTTACTTTCCTCAGGGAACAGAGAGGAAAAAGGTGCATATAAAGGTCAGAAATACCTCCTTTTGTAAAGGAATTCAGTCTGCTGCATGGAGCAGTGAGGGCAGAGGACACTGAGGAGACCCCTTACCAAGATTTTAAAACTCTGAAAACAGAAGATAAAATTGTAGTTATTCACAAACAACAATACACTAATACACTGGATAAAATATAAAGTATTTCTTTGTTTTAAATAGTGGATTACAGAAGCCAAAGACCCCAAAAGAAAGATTTTGGATTTGGCCCCAAATAAATTATTTTCCAATATAACAAAATAATGCATTACTGCCTGCAACTGCATTTCTCTAATGTATGTTACTATCACACACACAGTACTAACATACCATAGGACCAAAAGCATAGACTGTGAAAGGACTTCAGGCCTTTACAGATGAGAACCATCAAACATTGTTTCATAGAGCCAAATCTTTAAAAAAAGGAAAAAAAAAAAAAAAACCACAACACAGAACAAACAAGGTACATTTTAAGCACCAGTTTAACTTAGGTATTCATTATGCATTTTAAACAAGGTATATAAATAAGAAATTAAAATTTGTGATTCTCCTTTTTGAGCTGAAGGTATCCCTGGATAAATCCATTCCCTCATGATCATTTAAAAGATGTGGCAATGTCAGATATAACAGATGAGAAGAATTATTACAGCTGACCAACTGAGCATTCCCAAGAAACATTACACTAAGAGCTGAAGAACTAACACTTTGTTTCTGAAGATTTCCCATACTTCATCTACCTCAAGATCAGATGCCAACATATTTCATGATGACTTCTGATCACAGCGGAAATACAATATAGGCCAACATTGATATCTGATGTATATTTTGACCCATTTCAGGCAAGCCACTCCATGTGCAATCATGGAAGAACATGCAGTCCTTCTGATCCACATATCAAGTGAAGATAAAACATGAGAAAATCTAACACTTGTGTCAGCAGTGTCCCCAAAATTACTAAAAACCTCCATCTGATTTTTAAAATACCCGTAACATATGAAAGAGGAGAATACTGATTTGCAAAATTCACAAGGGATTATTTTCCTCAGATTACAAAATTGACAGATTTAAAAGTTCAAATTGTAACATAGCTGCACATGCTCATTAAATATACATCTGAATCTCAACATGTAGCAACTACACTGAAGTAATTATACTGTGCATTTTGCAGAATATAAGGTATAAATTTATAAATTTAAGACAAAGTTACTTCAAATGTTATTACAGGTCACTACATCTCAAAACATAAACCATCATTCAGACAAAAAGCATTAACCAAAATTTCAAAACAAATTAAAAAATGCACCAAAACATGAACCAGAATGCAAAGAATGTCCTAGAGGCAAGATTAGCAAACAATTACACCAGCCAGTGGTAACAGTTGCAGTAAACAGCATTTTTAATTTTTCTTCTGAAAGCATCTGCTTTGTGTTCCCAGTATGGCAAAATCATCCTGCTGCTTTCTACATTCTAAAAAAATGCAAATCATCAATAATCAAGAGAGCATCAGCTGATCACATTTCAGGATGCAGCATGGGAGTATTAAGTGACTGAGCATTGATCAAATGACGACAGAATCTGGAGACTGAGTCTCAAGTAGTATTGGTTGACCCTGATGTTAAGTATGTTCATATTATATAAGCCTTCACAGAAGTACTGTTTCTGCTGTTGGAAAGTGCTATTAAAACTCTGCACACATAAAATATATTTTCAAAGTCAATCACCTACAAATGCATTTCTCCTGTTCAATCAATCAATCAATCAATCTATCTATCTATCTTAAAATGGCCTGCTCTTAGACCAACTTTCTGGCAAGGAAATATGGATCAGTAACTGACCCAATCATTTCAATGGTTTCAAGGTAAATTGTCTGAGCATTTAAATGTGTGTCACCTGCAGGAAAACTCATTTTTATATAATAAACTACCAACTATTGAATGATTTTAAATGAAGGTACCTTTTCTTTTCTCATGTATCTTGCACATACACAGAGGATGGAAAGAAGGTAGCAGTATTTCAAAAGATTATGCTTACATATCCCTTCTAAATGTATACGGTTCTCTAGGGAACAATCAACTCAGCAATGTCTGCAATGCTCAGGCTATAATTACCAAAATGAGATGCATAACCTTTATTACACCAGCTAACAGTTAACTTTACAGATTATTTCTCTTACTTTAGCACTCTCAAATCTTTCGTCTCTTTTTAAGTAATCAACTGCTTCCAATCTTCCACATTGCAGCTACTGTGCATTCAATGCCAGGTGCCGCACACCTCACTAGCAGAAACTCAGCACAATGCAAGACCCTTTTCAGCCCATGTAGTTTCATATACTGCTGTCGCATGACAGAATGCCTTTGGGATTTAGCAAATTCAAACATATTCTGTTGCTGTATCACAAGAAAAACGCCTTGAAAGTCTCCCTGGTTTTGAAAAAAAAGGAAGGAAAAAAGAAGGAGAAATGAACTACCTACATCTCCAAACATGACAGTGCATTCCTGGCATAGAATATGCAATGCAAGAAGAGAATAAGGACAGTATTTATGTTACCTTCAGTCACATAGTTGTGGTCTCGAAGAAAGCTGTGGTTAATTTTTCGTGTGTCCGTGTCCTCGCCCATTTACAGCAGGATTACTCAGCATGCCTATCCGCAGTGGACTGATAGCATCAGCAGAGGTCGTCACAAGAGCACCATCCATGCTGCCACTGCCTAGCAGAGGCGGAGAACACACTGGGCTACTGAGCACAGCATAATGAGAGCTAGTGATGCAGCACAGATTTGGGGAGGGGGGGTGTGTGTGTGAATAAGGATCGGGGAAAAAAAAAGATCGGGGAAAAAAAGAAAAAAAAAAAAAAGAAAAAATAAAAAGAAAGAAAGACGAAGGGAGAAACGGCTCCGTTAAATTATGAATGCGGAAAGCCAGTAGGGAGCTTGCGTGAAGGGAATACAGGCACTTCTCCCGCAGTTACAGAATAACCCAATTGTTAAGTCAGGTACTCCTTAAACAAGTGCCCACGCAGAGTCTCCTCCAAGTGCCTGCTGCTGGGGTTCTTGCTGGATGCTGTAAAGTGGCAATCAGCGTACTGCAGCAAAACCCGCCCAGAGAAGGGCTCTGACTGCTGTTGCTGCTACTGCTGTCATATGCCTGTGCTGCATCAGAGCAGGCCCCTCCCAGTCAGCCCTCGCTGCCCAACCGCACAAGATCTGCATGTAGCAAAGTGAAAAATGAGACTGCAGGTAATTATTTTAGCTCTTCTCCTGGTAAAATGGGCAATGACAAAATTAAGGGAGGGGTGGTGGGAGAAAAAACTTCAAGCTGCTTAAATGGGTTTGCATTGACACGTACTGCGCACTAACGTGCAGCCACAATTTTGTGCTAGTCAGTACTGTCATATGCAGCAAAAGCAACAGTCGTTCAGTGTCAGCCTATATAAATATTACTGAAATTGCCAAATATCTGCCTATGCAAATGGAATCATTAGAAGCAAGGCAACCATTTGGAAGAAAAAAAAGATCAAATAACTGTTATTTATCTTCCCCCACACACACACAGAGTTTTGTAGATCAAAGACAGATTACAAAGTATGAAAAAAAATGAGGGCCAGCAAACAGTCTCTGTGGCTTCCCTGGACAGGAAAGGAAAAATGGACAAAGGCAACGTTTGCTGGTCATGGGGTTTTCTTAGACCTGTTACTTCTGTTCACTACATTATCTCAACACGTTAGAAAAGCAACGTTGAAATCTGTATACTAAGAAATATGAAAAGATGTGGAAAAGGAAAATTACTCACTTGCATTATGAAATAAAGCTTGTTCTTTAATTCAAGTGTTTAATGTCTTACATTACAACAAATTTCTTTCAACTGAACAGACAAGCATTTCCTTATGCTTTCAGTATCTGTTCACAAAACCATGAACCGTTTGCTGCAGAAGGCACATATTCTGAAAGGGTATAAGCACCACTGAAGTTTAGAAATTTGAATAGAAAACAAATGGCTCTGTACCAAAAACCACCACTGCAGAATGAAAAGGGAATACACAGTCACAAAACCAATTCAGAGGAGGACAGTCCTGTGGTTTAGACCCTGGAACTGAACACCAAAATTACAATTCAGTTGTCAGCATTACTACAGCATTTTGTGTAACCCTGCATGAATCTTGCACAGATATTTTTTTTTTTTGCTTGTTTTAATTTCTTTTTAATGAAGCCAGTACATATTGTTCTCAAAGAAAAATTCAAGGACCCCGCTATTACTATAAAATGGGCATGTGACTTAGGAAAAAGTAGAAAACTATGTAAAAATCTGCTCAGGGATAAGCATCTCATTTCAGGATGAAGTAAGGTTGGGAGAGAAAGAACAGCAATGTAATTACTTTCTTCCCTTTCTCATTGATATAGCAATATAAAACAGAACATCTTCAACATGACAAGTAAACAAAATCTTCACATTTGAGAAGGCAGAAAAGTAAAAGAAGTTATTAAATATTTTCACCTGTACAGAACACATTTTATTTATATGCAGCTTTTGTAGGTAACAATCTTAGAAATGTTATTTCTGCACCGAGACCATCAGTCAATACTGTGGTGGTACCAGCAGCTCTCCAGGGCCTGGCCTATCCTTTGCTGCCTTTGCCCATGCTTGTTCATGTACCAAATACTTTCAACTTTAGGATATCCTGTCTGCTTACACACTGGTACCATCCACTTTTCAAGACTGTGCACAAACCCAATTCACTTTCCCAGTTCAGAGGGTAAGCATACCGCCAATAACACCAAACTAACCAGGACCTGATGCCTCACGATTGCCAACATTTTCCTTCTGGATATGCATGGCCTGGTACATAGCTGTAGTCTTATGTACAAAGTTGTATCCCAAAACAAGGATCCAGTCCTGCCAGCAGCCAGACCATCCTGAAGTCTATTCCGAATTTTGCTCCTATTTAGTGGAAGCAAGTACAGCATAAATACTTGATGACAACACTAGCTGCAGTTCAGAAAGTACCTGCGAGAACCTGTAAATATAATGAATGAGAAAATATACCCAAAATTTGACTGAATGAGGAAGGACTTGCAAATACTGATTATTTATTTTGTATAAAATGACCCTAATCTATGTGATGAAGCTAATTTATTTTGCCCTTCCCTGCCACATTATTTTATCATCTTGGATTTGTTCTTCCAAAGACAAAAGGGTCTGTAAGCAAGACACACTGACATGAAATCCCAACTCTGCTGAAGTCGGTGGCAAAGAGTACAACAAATAGCAAGTTTATACTCAACTATTTAATGCCATGGTTAGACCAGTCTGGGTCAAGATGGCACTTCCCTTCAGCATCTGTGCAGGAGATAGTCAAACTGTCTGGAATTAGAAGAATAGCCTAGATGCTTCTGTCAGGAAACTAAGCTCCCTATATACTCAGTGTAACTTCTGGAGGGCAATAAAAAGCATCTGCATCAGAAACATCTTTCTCCATTTTGTATATTGGATGCTTACGCTTCCCATCAGGCACACAAGTTAGATAACGCAGCATTAGAGAGTATGGATTCCTCTGAGGATGTAACACTGAGCATTTCCTCCTATTGCTATGATGACTGCTGAAACTGGAAGAAATGTCACCTTGCAGGGCATTTGATCCCAAAAAAAAAAATCAAACAACACAGTTGAATAAAAATGCATCGAATAATATGTATCTACATACAGAAAATGAACATGTGTTCTCTCCTTACTAAGAAAAAGACTTATACGAAAATTTATTATTGAAAATAAATAGATAATTATGTGAACGGTGTGTAAAGTCTCAAAAAAGCCACACTGACAGTGTGTGAAAAAACACTGGGAATCATTTTCTTTGTAAATACCTCTAAATTTCTGTGACCAAGGTGTCTGCAATTTCTGTTGTGCCTGAGAGAATGTTCCTGCCCTTCCACATAAGCTCACCAATCACTCGCCCTTATCTGTCCTCAATCAGTTGAAACTTTGTGATTTCTATGGTTTATCATTTTGAGCCTCCTCCCTTTAATTGTTAGGTGTAATTTAAGCAGTTAAGGATGTTTTCAATTTTTCTAGGAGCCAAGTGGACTTTTTTTTGGAAAGTCAAATTAATAACTCCCAATAACTCCCATCCAGAGATAATTTTCTCCTCTCATGATCTGAATTAGGTTCATAGATCAACTTCCTTAGGCATCACATCTCCGTCAGATCATGCTTACCTTATTCTTCCCACTTTTAAGTTAAAAATATCTCATAAAGAGGAATGGAATGAGGAGAAAGCCTTTAACAAAAACACTAGACAATATTCCCTGTGTGCATGCAAATGCCTTCCCAAAGATTATGAGCCAAATCCTTAATGTGTGGCAAATATTAGTAGTCCACAGACTTAAGTAGGTCAGTTCACATGAGAAAGATTAACAAAATCTGCTCTAAATTTGTAGCACAGTGCAAATCTGTGAGAGACAATGTTTGCTGGTAACTAGCTGTGCCATTTTAAAATGGTACTTATTATCAATCCCACTGATAACCTACATAATTTGATCTGGTCAAATATCCAGGGAGAGGGTGGGAGGAAAGGAACCTTTGATCAAAAACATATTAGTTACTTATACTTTCACAGTAGTTCACAGCCCTGCTCATAAAAAAACCCGTTAATTGAGCTGCATACTGTCCAAACACAGTAATAAGAGTGCCTTATCCTGAAGAATTTACAAGCAAACTATAAAATGGACAAGCTACATACAAATCAGTAAAGATATTTAAGCAAACAGTGAGTCAGTAATGAGGATGGAGTCCCAGTTTTGAGCGTTTTTTCAAAAGAAGGTAATTAGAGACTTTGTGGAGAGCAGCAACAAACAAAACTGGATTCAAGAGGTTGAAAAATAACTGCATAACAAGAATAGATCAAGCTTAGACATAAAAGGAGGAAGACTGGCTAGCAGATCAGAAACTTTTTTTTTCCCCCCTCCCCAAAGATGGAAGAAATTAAGATGCATATTAAGATGCATTCTAAAGAGTAAGATGTTCAATGAAAATGTCGGCAGAGAGTAAAAGACAGATGAGGAGAGTAAAAGACAAGGGCAGGCATGACACAGATGCCAATACAGACTGCAAGTGCCAGTAAGAAAATAGAAGAGTTAAAAGGAGCACAGGAAACCAAAACCCTATCTGTGCCAAGAGGAGAAAAAACTGATAGGACAGTGAGAGAAAATAATTTGAGGACGGACCGGAAGAAACCTGCATTTCACTTCATCAGAGTTTTGGGGAGAAGGATTGGAGAAAGGGGAAGGTAGAGACAGAAAAAGGGAAGAAGATGGAAATGGAAACAGGAGGCAGCTAGTACCCTGAGAAATGAATCAAAACCAGAAAAGATACAAATGGAATTGAGAATGTAAGATATGATAACAGAGTAGCCAAACAGTGGTAAGGAACCGAGACAGGTGAGAACAAATCTGGATGAACAACTGTTGATCATGTTTGCTTACTGCATTTCCACCAGAAAGCTCTGCAGCATGGAAGATGGAGGGAATTAGGTGTTAGAAGGCAAGTGGTCCTGAGTGTTCCTGAGTGATCCTCTTTATAAATACCTACCAAATGCATGCCCATCCTGTTTTGCTCGTGCAGAATGTTTTTGTTCTTTTTTGAAACACATTCTCCCTAAGAGCTTGTATTTAGCTTTGTCAGACACTTAGAGCACAGACTTCAGTATTTTAAACTCTCAATATTTGAAATAGAGCATCACCAGGTACTCCAAGTCTCCATTTTACTACCTTCAAATTCATCACGCTATCCAAATTAGAACAATTAATTGGACACATTTAAGATTCAGCTGGACACAATGCTGGGCCATCTTGTCTAAGCCATGCTTTTGCAAAGGTTGGTCCAGAGGATCCTTGAGATCCCTACCAACCCAGTATTCTATGATTCAAGCTTAAACTGCAATTGAAAGAAACAGTGGTTGAATACTTAAATACTTTGTCTAATAAAAATTTTCATATAAAGATCATTCTGCACTTCATTTAGTAAAACACAATGGCTTTAAATGAAACAGAACTGGATTTTGAAATGGCACAGAACTGATTATTTTTTTTTAAATAAGAGATTTTAAGGCACTGTGATGATTTAAAAAAAAAATCCTG